TTACAAGGACAAAAAGGAACAGAAAAAAAAAAAAAAAAAAAGAAACCAAACAAATTAACAGAGCGATCTGCAATCCAGAACACATGGCAGCTTGTCAGATGCCTCTGACAGCGGCCACCAAGAAGGCGTTCCTTTCATTTGTAAATATTTCTTTTTTTATTGCGTTTTTGTATAAATTGGTGTTTCTCTTCTCGTGAATATTCAGGTCGTGGGGTGGGAGGGAGGGGAAATTTGTTTCCGTTCTGTTTGTTTTTTACAACTTTTCAGGCTGCGTTTTTGGAAGCGGTTTACGCGGGTCGAGGCCGTATGAATGAGGAAGAGAGAGAGAGAAAAAAAAAAACCTATGTGTGTTGTGTTCCCCTGAGGCCCCCCGTATTGCCCTGTCACCTTTATCTTCATGAACGGAAGACGCCGGAACGTCACGTCAAGCCTTGCCAGCAGGGTTTCATGTTTTGATGGGAACACCCCCAATTCCTTTTTGCATATAAACTCTCTGTACCAGCATCTCTCTGTGGAGTTTTGGCCTCAAGGCACAACGCTGTCTTGATAGTGGTGGGGTGAACCATCAAGTTGGCCGCTCAGGTTGGACCATCACTTTGACATTAAGAGACTTCTCCAATGCTACTTCGGTTTAGAAATCTTGGACCTGGGAAAGCTCATGATAATTTCTGGTATTTCCTAAGGGCTTGGGGGGAGCTTGACAGCTGGCAAGGGCAGCTAATCTCTTTGGCAGTTATCTCGGTACTTTCCCGTCCCTCCCCACCTGGAACAAGGAAACCTGGAGGGTGGCTCTTCAGGGAAATTAAGCCGAAAACAAACCAAAAAAAAGTTAATGGAACTTTTAAAATCTCTTCTTAAAGGTTCTGATTTTTGTGTTCCAGGGTGAAAGTTGGTTCGTATTTTCTCCGAACTGGTCTGTCCCTTGTTCCACTGATCGGCAAATGATAGTTTGCCAAAATCATTATCTAGTGTTGATACTGTTGTAGCACTGTTAACACTCTGAGTGCTCTGCAAATATTAACTGTGCCACAAACCACTCAAATGAATGCTCTAGGGCAACCAGAAAAGAAGAACTGGAAATTCTGGACTGAACTACTGGTCTAACCACAGGAGCCTGGTATTTTGCCTTCTCCCATAGTAGATTAGGCCATGTGTCCATCAGGTTAATCATTTTTCCTATAAGTGGTCTTTTCTGGTTGCTTTGTTTATTTTAGTTCTGACAGGTCAGCAAGTTTTGGGGCAGAGATGAAGGGGAGGGAGTGGGAGGGGGGAGGGTATAATTCATAATCCAGAAAATAAATCAATGATGTTATTAAACTCTGATTATATATTTAGAATTTTAGATTTGGTGTATTTTCATTCTAAGTATTCAAGTGAATCAATCAGGTAATATTAGCAGCAGTTGTCTGTACTAGAAAATCACCCATGTGCTGTTTATTACCTGTCCAGAAAAGAATGGGATTTCATACCAGAACCTGAAAAACTCCACATCCCCACCCTTGCCATCTCTCTCCTGTAGAAACACCAGTATTTTCTGGGGCAGTGTCTGGGAACCTTTCCCCTCTCTGAAGATTTCTGCAAAAAACTATTGCGTCCTCTACAGTTTGGTCACCTCTACTGTATGTTTGCCGCCAGCCTCCCAGGAAAGATTAGGTACCTTTGGCAATGTTTCTGACATTTGCCTCCACATTCTAGCCCCAGGCATGGCTCTCTGAGAAGTATTTTCATGAGCCGTGTTCTCCTAAAGTGGTACGGGGGTGTATGTACTCAGCTGAAGGAGGAAGTATATGAAGGAGATGGAGGAAATATTCAAAAAATATCAGAAATGTGCCACGCACAATGGAAAGTAGCTGGTAGATAGAACTTGCAGCCATGGATCTCCACATCATAAACCTTCTTGGACTATTCACACCAGCTTTTTACCATAGCGCAAGACAGAACAGGCTGGTGTAGTTGTTCTCCATCTCCCATCATGCCTCCCAATAAGGGCGATATCAGAACTTGTAATATCGCATCATAAGTAGGAAAGAAAAGCTGCAGTCAGGACTTCTTGTCAGTTGAGACAATGAAGCACACCAGCCCCACCTCCTCAGCAAAAAATCATCCTGTTCTCTCTAAAATCCAGCATGCGTTGTCAGAACTCTCCAGGCAAGAACCCCAGTGGTTCAAAATGCTCAGCAATATGCAAGTATGAACTTTGCCTGTAGGGAATTAATGTTTTAATTTCCAGAGCATGGGAGGAGGAAGGTTCCTTTGTGATGTCCTGAATGATTTGGTGGAGGAGCTAAGAGTTGCCAAGATGAAGCCTCTTTGCTTCTGACTTCTTCAGCAACGCATGCTGATGTTGAGCTCCTCACTCCAAGAAGACCCTATCATCCATCTTGAATAAAGCCCCTTTGTACCTTTAAATCACGGTTCTCACAGCAACATTGCCAGCAAAAGAGACAGGGGGAGACAAAGAATCAATATGATGGTCGTGACAGGTTAGAGTGATCAGAGATACCTCAGGGATCTTTATAGGCAAGACTTTGCTTTAGAGCTTTCTATCAAATGTGGCATATCCTCCCACCTCCATTACTTATCAACAGATGGAAGCAAGCCTGGGAACACAGCCAATGATCAGACTTAGGCCTTTCACACATCCTCCACTCCAGTCAAGCAACCTTTGATGAGCCCTTCCCATGGAGAAGGAT